AGAGTGTAAGTTTAGAGTGATTTCACCGTAGAAAGGAAGACACAAGATTTATACTGGTTCGGTCTCAACCACTTGACCTACATCCAGTCCTCAGAACACCTCTGAGTATTTCACTATGTTCCAAGATTGATCGGGCTCTTGGTGCCTTAGTACAGTAATTGAAGCTCTCAATCACTCCCCCTTACTTCCTGTAAGGTTACAGCCCTACTCAAGAGTCCACACCCTTGAGTATCACACAAACGTGATTAATGAGTAGTAAATAAACTCTCTTACAGAGTGAATAAATGATAATCATTGACGCTTGGAGTTATGAAAGAACAGAGTATTGAATGCAACAGTAAAAATCAACAGAGGTTAGCTCACGTATTCAATTCTATTCATTAATGCTTCTTCGTGCCTTTTATAGTTGAGGTCGTTTAGTAACCGTTAAACGGAAGAGCTTCTAGCCGTTATAAGTCCGGTTGCGTGTTTTTCCAGTTGCAATGGTTTCTGCCATTAATGCTTTTGATAAGGTAGGTTATAGACTACTTGGACAACCGTTAGAGTGCCGTTGGGATTTTCTTCGTAATCTGCAAAAAATACAATAATTCAATAAGTTTATTCTTCGTAGAATAAGATCAAGAGTAGATTCGATCAACTGATAATCAAATATTCATAGCTTATGATTAGAATAAATGTCAGATGCACTGGGTAGTAACTGAATGTGCTTGATCGAAGTGATGTTCGATTATTACTTGATCGATCAGGTTATCAATTATTCTGAGTGAAGACTTTGAACCAGAGAACTAAGATTATCGATCAAGTTATGGATTATTAGTTTATCGATCAGGTGATCGATAAAGGAAAAAGTGATATCATACTGTGATGCATAGACAATGAAGATCAAGGTTGCTTTTGATTTTGACATTCTTTAAATAGTGAAACAAGACACTTATGAAGGCTGAGAAAAGCTAGAAGAAAATATATGATAAATTCTGAGAAACATGGAGACTTAAGGTTTAAACTGAAATCGCCTTCATGATCGAACAAGTGATCGAACACTTGTTGATCGATCAGGTTATCGATAAATAGAGTGTTATAGAAATGACTTTTGAAACACTGATTATCGAATACTTTATCGATAAATGGATGATGGATAACCTTATCGATAAACAGTGGACAAAAGTATATTTTGTGAAAACATAGACTATGTAAGTTGATCGAATAGATGATCGATAAAAGGTTAATCGATAATGTTATCGATAAAGAGGTCTTTTCTTTTAAAACAAAAGAGCTGATTTATCGATCAAGTTATGTGAAAACAACGTAAACATGAAGGGTGGTTATCGATAAGATTATCGATTCAGTGATCGAAGAGCCACGATGAGACAGAGTTATGTTGATTATCGATCATGTGATCGATAATGTTCTTATCGATCAGGCGATCGATAAGCCACTGAAATAAATTATTGCATAAAGAGTTATGAGGCAATGTTTGATCATATTGTTGATAAATAGCTTATCGATAATGTGATCGATAAATGGTGATAAAAACAAAACATAGAATGAGTAAAGTACATTACCATTTATCTATCTTCTCATCGATAACCGGTGTCACACCTTACTTATATAGTACCTTAGCATTCATTTAGAACTATTCCAGACCATGTTGGATGGTCTTACACTTAAAAATTTCAATTTGGACGTTAATTTTCGGAAAATTACTGTTCACTGTCCAGTTTTCAGATTACATATCCAACTTTGAAAAATCATAACTAATTCTAGAAAAATTGTATGGAGGTGTTCCAAAATTCTACAGAAAGCTCTTTCAATGCTCTTTAAGGGAAAAATATTCAACTGAACTCTCTCTCACTAAAAACGTACAGTTTATTAGATTAAGATTACTATTCGTTTGGTAAAATCTGGACTTTTCAGATTCTCCACCTTAACTTTGAAAATTCATATCTCTTCGTATACACATCCAAATGAGGTGGTTCACTACTCATTTTAAATCTTGGAATGTGCACTATAAGTATACCAACTTTCGTAGCTTAACTCATTCATATGATAGGTCAAACTGAAGCTCGAAAGTAACTGCTCCATGACCTACGTTTTATCCCTTAACATCTCTTTACTTTAATTCTTTTTATTTCTTTGGCATACCTAACATGGGCTTACTTTTTCCCATTCATGCTCATACATTCCTATACACGCCATAAGCTTTATAATTAAATACATGGCATTCACAACATAATTATAACATAGGAGAATTATACATTGAATATTAGTATCAATCATTAGCATCAATAATTCTCCACTTCTTCTCCTTGCTTCTCATGCCATTAGTGCCCATCATTGATTGACCTAAATGGTTGGTTACGAAGGGGTGAGATTTGGGGGAATCTTAGTAGCAAACATTACCACATACATGCACAAGATGGATGCTAGTGTATGGTATGTAGTTTTTCATAAACTTAAGTTAATTAGTGACATGCCATCATGCTTTATGCTTGGTATAAAAATGGATGGCCATGGGAACATATTAAAAACAGCATTTTCAGTAACAATCATCATGTCACAACATCATTCAAACAACAAATACAAACCAACACATGAGCATACCATGTCAAGCACATAAAGGGTAAGTTCACTACCTTGCACCTCAAGCTTTCCTCTTACTTTTCCTTTGACTCCCTTGACTTTCCAACCATGTGGGTATTCGGCCAACATCACCAAACATCCTCTTGGATGTTCTAAAGGTCCTAAACATAACCATAATGATCACACAATCCATTAGGACTATTAAATTACATAAAGTTCAAGACTAGCTTTCTTGAACCTCAACCCTTTCTCTTAGTCTTAGGGTTTTCTTTCTAACTTTTCTAATATAAATCTTATCATTTCCTATCCTTAAGATCCATTTCTTGTCAATTAGGACCACTTTAGATGGCCTTAGATTCAAGAATACCAAATCTGGAAATTTTGGCTCGCGGGTACTGTTCACGCAGAAACTCCAGAATTTTTTCTCAATTTTGAAATTTCATAATTAAATCTAGAAAAATCCAAATTGAGTTCTTCCAAGTCTCACTGAAAGCTCCTTAAGTTAAATTTTAAAAAAATAGTTTTAGGAACCAATTCTATGCCGAACAATACCGGAATTGTACGGAACTCGAAACTCTTCCAAAGGTTCAACACTGTTTCCAGATTTCAAACCCTAACTTTGAAAAATCACCATAAATCGTACATATATCCAAATGAAGTGTTCTACCCATAGATTTAAATCTTACAGAGTGTACTTTAAGCATACAAAATTTCAGAATCAGATACACACAGTAACTAATTCGAAATGGGCATTAAATCAGATGCTACAGCCACCACATACCTTGATCTTGAAGCTTGAACTTAGGTGGACTTTCTCTCACTAGAAATAGCTCTTTCTCTCTCTAGATGCAAGGGCAGCAGAGTTTCCCCTAGTGTTCATTAGCTTGGCAAAATTGGGGGGAAGAAGAGTGCCTATTTATAGCCAAAAAGTTGGCTTGAATGGACCAAAATGCCCTTGGTAGCTAGAAGAAGGAGTAAGGGCAATTTTGGAAGTTCAAGTGGACTTTTGCATCATCATTGCATCACCTTATTACATCATCCTTGCATCATGCTTCTAGAAGAGGCCACGTGTCACAAAAATGATAGAGGAGAAGGAAGATTAGATCATAACCGTCGGATCTAAACTTAGCCCTTAAGTTTCCTCGTATTTTACTTGGCCCACATTTCTCTGACTTTCTTTATGGCCTTCCGGGGTTCAACAAATTCTTCTGTCTACTCCATAAATTCCCCTTCATTCTAGAGAGTATCTATGAATTTTTTCAGGCCATAACACTTCCTCTAAACCTTGTATAAAAATCATTTACTAAAATACCCTTTTATCGGTATAATCTGCTCTTTAATTTATAAAAGTCATTCCACTGGCCTTTTGGTTACGGGACTAATTTTATAAATTAGTATAACCTTTCAACCAATTAATTCTTATTTTTACGTACATTTTTTAGGTCTCTTGCTATTTTAAATAATTACCTCAAACAGTGTACTTTTTACTGACCATACCCTCATAAATTCCACTTAAGCTATCTCAGGGGTATTTTCATCTTTTCTCTTTATAGATGAGTCTTAGAATATTATTTCCCATTTTTTGGGATTTTTTTGGAATTTTCTGTACACTCTTCCATTTTTGCCCTTGCTGGTCAACTTTTTGAATTTACAATTTAGTCCCTGCTTGGACTTAACTTCATATAATCCTCTCTTTGAGGCTTTTAACTTAACCTTTAGCCTATATCTAGTCTCTTTTCTCTCTCTAGGCCTTCAAGACTTTACTGGAGTCTCTGACCTTGATTATACTGAAGCCCCTGAAAAACTTTTACTTTGCAGTTTAGTCCCTGAAACTGCTTTGACTTCCTTTCTCATCTTTGGGACTTCTGCTCAAAAAGGGTCTGGTAGCCTATCCAATTCAGGCTACTTTTGATGCTTCTAGGCCCAAAAGTCTGGATGTTACAACCAGTTTATTGATCATGTGATCGATAAACACCTATTAATTTTGTATTTCCGAATATCGACCAAGTGATCGATAATTTGTCCTAGATTTTCATGTGCAAGTAAGAATGATCGATCAAATGATCGATCAACACATTATCTAACACGTTATCGATCAAAGTTTCTACTGAATTTACTTAATTAGACAGAGTTATTATCTATCAGCTTATCAATAAAACCTTGATCGATCAAATGATCGATCAACTTGCTGAATCACAAATTACTCACTTTGTTATCATCAAAACCTTAAACCTAATATTCTCCCCCTTTTTGATTATGACAAAACATAGGTAAGGAATATTAATCAAATAACATCAGAAACAGTAAAATTAAGCTGTAGATAGATCGAAGTAAAATCAACTGTCAAAGATACATCAGTAAAACATAGTAAACTCAGAGCACATAGCTAAACATCAATAAAAACACACACAAAAAGGACTCTAAGCATCAGAATTTTTCTCCCCCTTTTTATCAGCATTAAGTGGGGAAAAGGAAAGAGTAGACACAGGTGGAATGGACAGGGGAATAGGAAGAGGGGGAAGGTGAGAAAGTGGAGAGAGTGATGGAATATGAATGGAGGGAATTGGCTGGGGAACAGTGATCAGGGCCAAAGTAGGAGAGGGAGTGGGAGAGGTAGATGGTACAGATGGAGAAGTGGGTATAGTGGAGGTAGAAGGTCCAGGCTCATGATGAGGAGGAGATGGGGAATGATGAAGTAAGTCCTCAAAGTTGAAGGTAGTGCTGGGGGCAGAGAAGTTGTTACAGAGAGAGGCTACCATCCCTTTAAGCTCTTGAATTTCTCTGTCAACATAATCAAATCTCTGAGACACCTGCTTTTCCAAAACCATCATTGCTTATCTGTGAAGATCTAGGATTTTGGAAATACCCTCAAACTTTCTATCTGAGACTTCCCCATATTCTCGAGCAGTGACATAAACTCTCTTCTCAAACTCTTGAAGCTCGGCCTGAAACATCTCCCTGAGAGATCTCTCCATGAATGGAGGTCTAGGGGCATGAGAAGGAGCTGCAGTGGATTCGGCCTCATCCTTAGTCCTAGAGGTGCTGACAGCTGGTTGCTTCCCCTTGTCTTTTTGAGGTACCTTCTAGGATGGTCTAAAAAGTAGAGGAATCCTCATCTTGTGTAGCTGTGCAATCCCAAAAGCAGGAACCTTGGTCTTGGACTCTCCAGGCTCAAAGGGGGCAATGTTGTTTGCCTGTAGGATGTATGTAGCCAACTGAGGATAGGGGATCAGTGTAGACTTGGATTTGTTGAGAACAAAATCCTGTATCTCATTACAGATCAAAGCCCCTATATTAATCCTTTCTCCACTGATTATTCGGGCTAGTAACAAGTAATCATCTTGGGTTAAATGTGAGAAGCTCCCGGACTTGTTGATCATACTTCTTGAATAGATATAGTGGATTATTCTATAATAACCACACATATGTTTAGGTGGGAAATTTAGCTCACCGGGGTACTCATCACTTTGCATCAAAATCTTATAGGCCTTAGTTTCATTCATATCTCCCCCTCTCACCGAATCTTGAGTTCCCAGCAAGTCATTAATCTTATCAGCAGTAAGGTGGAAGGTTCTACCTCTAAGTTTGACCCTTAAATAGTCATTTACCATATTGTCCTACTCATCATATTCTTCTACTAATTCCATGTTACAATAGAACCTTTTAATCACTTCAGGACAAAATTCTCCACCAATTATCAGCCAGTTTGAATAATATTCCAGGGGATCACTCAAGTCCAAATTAATCTGAGTATTTTTCTTTAAGCTCTCTATATCCACAAAAACAACAGGGTAAAATCTCCGGTTTGCAAAATCAGCCTTAAACTTAGCCAAATTCACTTCCTTATCAAGGTTTCCAACTAGTAATTCAGAGAAATCAGATGGAATACCTTCAGAGGGAATTTGCCGTGCGATCCATTCACTAGCTCTCTGATTTTTCTGCCTTAGTTGCTTGGGAATGGGAATTCTCAATGTGGTCTCCACAGCTTTCTGAATTGAGGCTCCATCATCTGACTCGGTTTTCGATTCCTCAGTGACTATTGGAAGCTTAGATTTGGACCGGGGAGATTTTCTTAGAGGAACCGGTTGCTCTTCGATCTGAATTTCTCAGATTTTCAAAACACCTCTCTTCTTGGATGATTCTTCCCTCACTTTTGGTCTATATCACTTCCGAGTGCCCGAGGGAGTAGTATCGCTCGATTGGACTTGCTTCTCTAAGCCTTCTTGCCTTTCCACATTCGGCTATTTTACCCGTGCCATTTTCGATGAATCGACAGAATTCAGAGAGAATAATCAGTTGGAAGTAGATGTTTTGAGGTTGATGGTAGTCGAAAAGGTGGTAGAGTGGGATTCGGGTGGATGGGTGACTGGAAATTTAATGGAATAGTGATTTTTGGACTGTTGCTAGAAGCAGGGGAGCGGTTTTGATCGAGTTAGGATTTGATAACTGACGGGGGTTTTTGAAAATTTCAACGTTATAAAATTCAAAATTATCGATCATGTTATCGATCACCAGATGATTGATCACGTGTTCGATAAATATGAAGAACATATAAGAACACTGAAGGCAAGTATCGATCACATTATCGAACAATCAATTATCAAACATGTTATCGATAAAATTAGTAGAGGAAATGCGTACCTGGTCTTTTTATCGATCATTTGATTGATAATCCATTTATCGATCAACTTATCAATTAATGCTTACCAAGATTTGAGTATATGTCACAAAAGACTTACCGCTCCTGATCGAAGTTCTGATCGATAATCCATTTATCGATCAACTTATCGATAATCATCGTTCTAAATCTCTCCATTTTCCACACATGCTGTATTTATCGATCATATGATCAATAAATTACTTCTATGTGGCTTCATGATTATCGATCTTTTGTTCGATCATTCCATACTCTATTTACCTCTGTTTTTCTTCAACAAAATAGAGCTTCCTGCAAAACAAATTTCTATCCACTCTGATGCTTAAGTTAGTTATTTAATCATCAAAACATTAAATTTAAATATTGAAATTTAAGAGATAATGTGAGATTTCTTACAACTCATTGGGATTTACCATTCCCAATTCTCTTCGAAAAAAGTTGAACTTCTGTTGATCTAGAGGCTTCATGAAGATGTTGGCTATTTGATATTCAGTGGGGATGAATTCTACCTTCACATCTTTCTTTTGAACATGATCCCGAATGAAATGATGTCAAACATCGATATGCTTAGTTCGGGCATGATGGACTGGATTCTTGGACAGGCTTATCATACTCGTGTTATCACATAGGATTGGAATTTCTCGTAAGTTGATTCCTAGATCCTATAGTTGTTGCTTTAACCATAGAATCTGAGCACAACAACTTGTAGTGGCCACATATTCTGATTCTGTTGAGGAGATTGCCACAGTATTCTGCTTTTTGCTTGACCACGAGACAAGGCATCCTCCGAAAAATTGACATTGTCCACTGGTGCTTTTTCTATCTGTCTTATATCCTCCATGATCTGCGTCTGAGTATCCCATTAGGTATTCTGCTCCCTTCTTTGGATACTAGATTCCCAGATTTTGACTTCCAACAAGGTATCTGAGAATTCTCTTGATGACTTCTTCGTGTGACTCTTTTGGAGTTGATTGATATCTTGCGCATATTCCCACACTAAATTGTATATCTGGTCTACTAGCCGTGAGATATAGTAATGAACCAATCATTCCTCTATATTTGATCAGATTCACGTCCTTGTTGTTTTCATCTGCGTCTAGCGAGATGGTTGAGCTCATCGGAGTTTTTACACTTTTGGCATTTTCTAATCCATATTTCTTTAGCAACTCCTTCAGATACTTCGTCTGGGATATAAATATGCCATTTTTCTTCTGCTTGATTTGTAATCCCAGAAAGAAATTCAGCTCTCCCATCACAGACATTTCGAATTCTCCCTGCATTAGCTTAGCAAACTCTTGACAAAGATCTTCATTAGTAGCTCCGAAAATAATATCATCCACATAAATTTGAACAATCAAAAGATCTTTCCTACTTCTTTTAATGAATAGAGTAGCATCTACTTTGCCTCTTTCAAATCCTTTTTCTATCAGAAAATTGCTAAGATGTTCATACCAAGCTCTGGGAGCTTGTTTTAAACCATACAAAGCCTTTTTCAATTATAAACGTGATCAGGAAAGTTTGAATCTTCAAAACCAGGAGGTTGCTCGATAAAAACTTCTTCTAAAATATATCCGTTTAGAAAGGCACTTTTAACATCCATTTGATATAGTTTGAAATCTTTAATGCAAGCAAAGGCTAAGAGTACCCGTATCGCCTCCAATCTAGCTACTGGAGCATAAGTTTCTTCATAATCGATCCCTTCTTCTTGATTATATCCTTTAGCCACCAATCTGGCTTTGTTTCTGACGATTTGTGCAGACTCATCGAGCTTATTTTTGAATACCCATTTGGTTCCTATGACTGGATAATCATTAGGTCTGGGTACTAGTTCCCAAACTTGGTTTCTCTCAAATTGGTTAAGCTCTTCCTGCATTGTGACTATCCAGAACTCATTGGATAGGGCCTCGTCAACATTGGTAGGCTCAATGTGGGATATGAACGCTGAGAAGCGCACTTTATTGAACACTTTTCTCTGGGTTTTGACCCCTTCATTGACTTTACCAATGACTTGTTCCAGTAGATGGTCTCGATTATGTCTCCAAGCCTTAGGTTGCTCTAAATTTTCTTGTGAAGAAGATTCATTTAAATCATTTTTGTTTTCTAAAAGTTCTTCTAAGGGTAATTTGTTTGAAGACTTGTTTAAATCTAATTTTTGAAAATTTTGAACAATCTCAGCATCGTCATCTAGAGGTTTTGAAATCGGTTCAATTTCAGCAAACACAACATGAATTGATTCTTCAATTATAAAAGTACGTTCGTTGAAAACCCTATAGGCTTTACTACGATTAGAGTAACCAAGAAATAAACCTTCATCAGCTTTAGGATCGAATTTACCCAGATTCTCTTTGTTATTGTTGTGAATGTAGCATTTGCTCCCGAAGATCCTTAAATGAGCTAGGTTAGGCTTTCTTCCTTTGTAAAGCTCATACGGTGTTTTCCCAAGTAGCATTCTGATGTAGGCTCTATTGGAGATGTAGCAAGCAGTGCTCATTGCTTCTGCCCAGAATACTTGTGAAATTCCTTTCTCGTTTAGAATTGCCCTTGCCATTTCAGTGAGCACTCTGTTTTTCCATTCGACGACACCTTTTTGTTGAGGAGTTCTTAGTGCTGAAAAATTATGCTCAATTCCATGCTCGTCTGCGAATTCGTTGTTCTCAAATTCTCCTCCGTGATCAGACCTGATTGACACAATGGAAATACCTTTCTCATTTTGGACCTTTTTGGTAAAAATAATAAATGCATTAAATGTTTCATCTTTAGAGGAAAGAAACAAAGTCCAAGTGAATCTTAAATAGTCATCAACTATCACAAGAGTGTATAGGTTTCCACCGAAACTTTTCACTCTCGACGGACCAACCAAATCCATATGAAGCATTTAGAGTGGCCTTTCGGTTGAGACTGTCTTCTTTGATTTAAACGAAGAATTTGTTTGTTTACCTTTCTAACAAGCGTCACAAATAATATCATGTTCATACTGAATTTTTGGTAAACCGATAACTAAATCCCTTTTTGTTAATTTTGAAAGTTGATTTATGTTAACATGTGCAAGACGTTTATGCCAAATCCAACTTTCCTCCTTTTTACTAATAAAACAGTTTTAAGAGGATTTAGAGTCAATTTGAAGTGTATAACAGTTACTGTCCCGTGGAGCTCTCAGCTTTATATTCAACT